GGGGGGGAGGGAGGGAGGAAATTTGAGGGGAGGAGAGGAAGGGAGGAAATTTGAGGGAGTGAGTGGGGGGGAGAGGGAGGGAAGGGAGGAAATGTGAGGGGGGGAGAGTAAGGGAGGAAATTTGAGGGAGTGAGGGGGGAGAGGAAGGGAGGAAATTTGAGGGAGGGAGGGGGGTGAGGAAGGGAGGAAATTTGAGGGAGGGGGGAGAGGAAGGAAATTTGAGGAGGGGAGAGGAAGGAAATTTGAGGGAGGGGAGGGAGGGAAGGAAATTTGAGGGGGAGAGGAAGGAAATGAGGGGGAGGAAGGAACTTGAGGGGAGGAAGGAAATTTGAGGGGGGAGGAAGGAAATTTGAGGGGGGGGAGGAAGAAATTTGAGGGGGGGGGGAGAGAGGAAGGAAATTTGAGGGGGGGGAGAGAAGGAAATTTGAGGGAGGGGAGGGAGAGGAAGGAAATTGAGGGGGGAGAGGAAGGAAATTGAGGGAGGGGAGAGGAAGGAAATTTGAGGGGGGGGAGGGAGAGGAAGGAAATTTGAGGGAGGGGGGGAGAGGAAGGAAATTGAGGGGGGAGGGAGAGGAAGAAATTGGAGGGGTGGAGAGGAAGGAAATTGGAGGGGTGGAGAGGAAGGAAATTGGAGAGGGAGGGGGAGAAGAAGGAAATTGGAGAGGGGAGAGAAGAAGGAAATTGGAGAGGGGAGAGAAGAAGGAAATTGGAGAGAGGGGGAGAAGAAGGAAATTGGAGAGAGGGAGGGAGGGAGAGAAGAAGGAAATTGGAGGGAGGAGAAGGAAATTGACGGGAGATTGAATCCATCACACACACACACATACACAAGCAATGCATCCCTTACACACAGCAACACACAATGCATCCCTTACAGACACACACACTACATCCCATACATACACAAACTCACCTTGCAGCCCTTACACATACAAACACAGATTCACACAATGCATTCCTTACACACATCAGGACATCCCCCACACACACACTCCACCCCCTCTGAACAAACTCATTGGTGGAACATGAAGGTGGACCCTGGTACCCAGACCTTGAGCTGTGTAAAGGGCCCCCCAAAAAATGGAGCTGCTTCCCGTTCTCCCAGAACATTGATTTTTGTGACCACAGTTACAAACCGCCTCTAGAGAGCCTGTTCTGTACCAGACCAGTGGAGCTAGACTGCAGCTAGAGCCCATCATCATCCTCATCTGGTTGTAAGTAGGCAATCTAGTATATTATTCGTGGCACTAAGCTCTAATTTACCTCACATTAAAGAAACACTATAGTCCCCAGAACCACTTCAGCTTAATGTAGTGGTTCTGGTGTCTATAGCCTGTCCCTGCAGGCCTTTTAATGTAAACACGGCGGCACTGCAGCACTGGCGTTAGTTAACATGGCACATCATATGGGTGGGGCGTTAAGATGTCACATGGGGCGGCAAACGTTACTTTTGCCTAGGAAATAAAATCCTTGCACCGGCCCTGGCTGGAGGGGGCTGTGTGAGCTGTGGCCGCACAGTGTCCCATGGTAGTTAGGGTGCCGTGCGGCCAGTACAACTCACACAAGCAAACAGCTGATAAACTGGCCGCACGGAGGAAATGTGTATGTGTGACTGTCTGCCTGTGACTGTATGTGACTGTCTGCCTGTAACTGAGTGTGTGACTGTCTGTAACTGAGTGTGTGACTGTCTGCCTGTAAATGTGTGTGGGGCTGCAGGGATTTTGTAGAAGGGGCAGGGGTTTTGTATTGGGACAGGAGTCTTTACAAATTGTAAAAAAAAAAAAAAAAGAGAACCTTTAAAAAATTTTACAGGTTTTTTTTTTGTTTTTTTTGGGGCGGGGGGGGTGCCAAGCACAGGATCCGCCCCGAGTGCCAAATGCTTTAGGTACGCCCCTGCCCAGACTAATGCCAGACACTCTTTCTCCACGGTGGCATAGCTGACTTCGCGGGGTAATAGTTTTCGGCTCAGATACGCCACCGGGTGATCCATGCCATCGTCTCCCACCTGGCTCAATACTGCTCCCAGTCCAAACATTGAGGCATCTGTATGGACGAGAAAACTTTTAGTATGATCAGGTGCCGCTAACACAGGAGATGCACTTAACGCAGCCTTGAGTTTCTGGAACGCCTCCTCACACTCAGTGGACCAGACTACTTGTTGGGGTAGGGACTTTTTGGTGAGGTCTGTCAAGAGTTTGGCAAGGGCACTGTATTCCGCTACAAATTTCCTGTAATAACCTGCGGTGCCCAAGAACGCCATGACCTGGGTTTTCGTCCGGGGTTGAGGCCACTGGGTGATGGCCTCAATCTTAGCGGGCTCTGGTCTCTGTTTTCCTGACCCTACTCTGTGACCTAAATATTGGACTTCAGCCATGCCCATGTGGCATTTCTCAGGCTTCAAGGTTAGCCCTGCATTCTGAATTCGGTTGAGCACTACTGAGATGTGCTTCAGGTGGGCTTTCCAAGTGCCACTGAAGATAGCTATATCGTCCAGGTAAGCACAAGCGAAGCCCTGAAATCCCTCTAGGAGCCGGTCTGCCATCCTTTGAAACGTAGCTGGGGCATTCTTCATCCCAAATAGCATAACCTTAAACTGGTATAGGCCAAATGGGGTGACAAATGCCGATTTTGGAATGGCCTCAGGCTCCAAAGGGATTTGCCAATATCCCTTGCACAAATCAATAGTGGTCAAATAATTCCCCCCAGCCATACGGTCTAGCAGCTCGTCTACTCTGGGCATGGGGTATGCGTCGGTAACGGTCCGATCATTTAGCTTACGGTAGTCCACGCAGAACCTGGTGGTACCATCTTTTTTAGGAACCAGCACTACTGGGGAAGCCCAGGGCCTTTGGGACGGTTCTATAACCCCTAGTTCTAACATGTCCTGGAGTTCCGTTAACATGCTTTCCCGTACTGCCTCTGGAATTCGGTAAGGCTGCTGCCGCAGGGGTAACTGGCCTGGGGTCTCCACTCTCTGGACTGCCAGGGTCGTATACCCTGGGGCTGCTGAAAACATGCCCCCAAATTCCTTTAACAGTTGGGAAGCCTGAGCTTGTTCCTCGGAACCTAATTCTGGACCCAACTGTACCCGGTCTACTCCTGTGGGTTCCTGGGGAAGCATATCTGGTAAAGGGATACCCTCACTATCTTCATATGCTGGAGCGCATACCGCGGAGACCTCCTCTGGTCTCTCGAGATATGGCTTGAGCATGTTTACATGGAAGGACCGCCGGATCCTTTCATTGGAACAGCCTGCCACAATGTACGTGGTATCACTGATCCGCTCTATTACAGTGTAGGGGCCCTGCCAGGATGCCTGTAACTTATCTGTTTTGATAGGTTTAAGCACTAGGACCTTTTGTCCCACTTCTAATATACGGTCTCTAGCTCCCTTGTCATACCAGTACTTCTGCCGTTGTTGGGCGGCTCGCAGGTTCTCCCGAACTGTTTCGGTCAGAGCTTGTAGCCGGTCCCTCAGCTCTAGTACAAAGGAGACTATAGGGGTACCTGCTTGTTCCATATCACCCTCCCAATGTTCCCGTACTAGATCCAGGGGTCCCCGAACCCGTCTCCCGTATAATAGCTTGAACGGGGAGAATCCGGTGGACTCCTGGGGAACTTCCCTATAGGCAAAGAGCAAATGAGGGAGGAATCTTTCCCAATTCCTACAGGTCTCTGTGAACGTGATAAGCATTTGCTTAAGGGTGCCGTTAAAACGTTCACAGAGGCCATTGGTTTGGGGGTGATAGGGAGAGCTTAATATGGGTTTTACCCCACAGCTCTGCCAGAGCTGTTGGGTAACCACCGCGGTGAATTGAGTTCCCTGATCTGACACTATCTCCCTAGGGAATCCTACCCTAGTGAATACCTGAACTAGTGCTTCCGCTACCGTCTCTGCATGTATATTGGACAGAGCTATAGCTTCGGGGTAGCGGGTAGCGTAGTCCACCACAGTAAGAATGTATTTCTTACCGGATGGACTGGGTTTACTGAGTGGCCCGACTAAATCAACTGCCACTCGGAAAAAGGGTTTCTCAATAATGGGTAGGGGGCGTAGTTTTGCCCTGGGGTGATCCCCTCTTTTCCCTACCTTTTGGCATACTTCGCAGGTCCTACAATAATCCTGCAAATCTCTAGTGACCCCTGGCCAGAAAAAGGACTGGGTGAGTCTGTCTCTCGTCTTTTTAATGCCCAAGTGACCTGCTAGGGGAATATCGTGGCTAATCCGCAACAGTTCTACTCGATACTTACGGGGTACTATTAACTGTCTTTTTTCTACCTGGCCCGCTCCTGTCCCTGTCCCCCCAGTCACTCGGTACAGTAAACCTTTTCCCAGCTAAACCTTGCCTGATCTCTGTCTCTCTGGGGATGTTCTGCCTCCCTCCGATACCCTTTTAAGGTGGGATCTTCCAGTTGCACTTGCTCAAAGTCTTGAGGGGTACCCCAGTAAGAAGTATGGTCAGGGGGAATCGTCAGAGGGTTATCGCTTACCTGGTCATGGGTTGAGGGGGAGGCTTCCATAGCTCTGGATTGCTGCCGGGTGGTAACAGGTAGTGCTCCTTCGGGACTGCAGGCTGCCAATTGGGACGTCAGGCATCCTAGATCATTCCCCAGCAATACTTCCGCGGGCAAATCTGGCATGATGCCCACTTCTACGGCCTTGGCCCCTGTACCCCAATCAATGTGAACCCGGGCTGTTGGTAGTTTGTGAATTGCCCCTCCGGCCACCCTTACAGCAATGGTGCATCCTGTGTGCTGGGTCGGGGTGACCCGGTGTGGCTGGACCAAGGTAATAGTAGCCCCGCTGTCTCTTAGTCTTTTGAGCTTTACTGACTGGCGGTGGTGCGCCCTGTTATCCCCAGCCGCTTGCACAGGGTTCACCTCATGTAAGGTGGCCCAATTCTCACTGTTGCTACTGGGTGTCTCTTGAGTCAGAGAGTTGTAATCCTCTTGCACACAGTGTGCGGCTGCTTTGGTTGGTGGTACCGGTGCCCGCCCCCAGCGGTCTGTAGTGCGTTGTGGGCAATTAGGTTTGATGTGCCCCACTTGCTTGCACCCATAACACATTGGAGCGGTCTTTTGGTACCCCGGGGTTGTGGTATTGCTCCCTGGTGGTGGTACCCTCTGTGGCATAGTTGGCGGGCCAGATGCAGGCCGCTGGCCCTGGACCCCTCGGTTTCCATCCATCTGCCTGCTCTCATGGAATTCGTCTGCCAGCCTTGCTGCCTCCTCCACCGTTTTTGGCTTTCTGTCTCTGACCCAGTCTCTCACCTCCGCTGGAGTATAATCAAAAAATTGCTCCAGTAACAACAATTGCACAGCATCCTCTAGGGTAGTTGCCTGATTCCCCTGCATCCAATTACTGGCAGCGCGTTGCATACGAAATGCCCACTCCGTATATGAATCCTTGCCTTGTCTTCTGAGGGCCCTGAATTTCCTTCTATGGGCTTCAGGAGTTACAGCGTACCGGGCTAACAAAATTTCTTTTATCTTGTCATAGTTTTGTATATCCCCATCTGGCACAGCTCTCAACAGGCTTGTTCGTATAGTCTGTAAATAGGGGATTTCGTTACAAATGGGTTAACCCTAGAAGGACCTGGCACCCAGACCACTTCATTAAGCTGAAGTGGTCTGGGTGCCTAGAGTGGTCCTTTAAGTGAAGGATTTTATTTCTCATTTTTTGTTAAATAATTGACCATGCCTTCTTCTGTTTTCTGATACGATATGTGTTTTTAAAGTTTAAACTCATTGGAATGGACTTGGTTTCAACCTAGATTATTATGTAACTATGTAACAAGTCACAAAAGTGTCATTAATGCACTTGTTACAATTACCAAATTTAGGGATTTCTTTCACTTCGGTCTATAAATGTCTATGAATCTTATGAATAACAACTGCTACCTATTTGCTGCTGATAAATACCAAGTTTCCAAACTTCTGGAGTAGATTTTCTGTCCTACTGCCAATGCCAACTCCCTAAATAAAACCCTTTTTGTGATTACCTTTTTTAAGGGTACCAAATAAGGGAGCCAAACTGGCACCACATAAGGGTACCAGTTTAAGTTAGGGAGCTAAATGCAGCGGAAAGAAAAAAAAAATGGGAAAAGCATCTTAATTTTGAACTTTCACTTGTTAGGGAAATCTACCAGTTGTTAGGGAACTATTTAATAAAAACACAACTAACACAAATTTTAGTACATTTACAAGACATCATTTACACATTCTCCCATTGTGCGATCCAGAGATTCTGAATTTGGGCGGATGGCCAAATGAGCAGATTTTCATCCGAATTGCGATTGTTCTGAAAACAAATGCCCACGTCTACAGTCTATAGATCTCCGGATACTAACATTAAATTTAAAAAAAGAATAACCATTGTAACCTGGAAACAAGAAGTCATTTGAACAATGAAAGCTTGTTTAGGGGACCAGGATGTCAAAACAAGCTGAATTTGCTGCAATTGCATATTTTTCTGAGCTAGACCTCTTGAACACCCTATAGAATTTCACAAAGTACAAGACATTGGCATTATTTAGTAAGTGAAACAGTTTTAAGAGAACAAAACATTATGAAAGATATTGCTTCATTAAATACATAGAAATATTTATGTGCATAAGGGGTATGTAGAAAAAATATTAATTGCTATTGGCAGCTGAACAGGTCATCTCTTTGACACTGTATTGTTTCTTAGTCTTATTAAAACTAGAAGAAAGGACACTTTTATATGTAGAAGAATGTAGTTAGTGGGCACTTATGCCCACCAGCTTCCCTACTTTACCAACACCGTGCTAAGCATGGGGTGTTGTGAATATGCAGGCAGCCCTCCTAGACAATAGCAGTGTCAGTTGTATTTACATAATACACACCACTAAACATTGGGTGTTATGTAATCAGGACAGAGAGGTCAGGGATATAGTGGGAGACAGGATGATGACGTGGATATTCCCCATAAACAGAGTGCTATACAAGAATGATGGCTTGATTTTCATGAACTGTTAGCTAGCCTCCCCAGGTCTATCCAAACACAGAGTGCTGCTGAAGCTCTCTCATTTAAGTAGACTTTCATTGAGTTAGTTTAGCAGTATGTGAGTGCAGTTATTATAAACGAAAAAAAAGGGGTACTTGCGCTAAGAGATTATAAACAACTAAAAATGCCTCTGTGGTAACAATATGAAAACATACACTACACCATACAGATAAAACCAAATATTGATTTAAAAAAACTATTTTTTTTTTAAATGGTTAATAATTCCGAATAAACGGATGCCAATGTTTCTTAGAAATAGTTTTACAGTGACACTAATTAGAGTTTTTAAAATAATCTTTATAATAGAGTTCTTTGTAAAATCTTCTTCCCTTCACTTCTGTTCTCTGCAGAGAACCCCAGTGCTTAAAAACCATAAGGGACATGGGAAACAGATTGAGCAAAACATTCATAACTTTTTAAAAAATATTTAACACAAACTAAACTTACATTTGGCACATTGTATCAAAGTGCCTTGTGTAGTCAGCTGGACGATGCCAGGCTTCATTGAGCCAGATCTGATCTTCCTCACTCAGATCGAATCAGCTGTTGCTATGTTTGTGCGCTGTTACAACAAAAATGATTCTCAAACACAAGTGACCTTCATAAAACTTGAATCACTGTGTGAGTTCAGTATAGCCAAATGCATTTTGCTCACATGTGTTTTCTCCATTACATAGCAAAGTTCTACCTCGGCGCCATTTTTTTAAACCCCTTAAGGACCAAACTTCTGGAATAAAAGGGAATCATGACATGTCACACATGTCATGTGTCCTTAAGAGGTTAAAGGACCACTCTAGGCACCCAGACCATTTCAGCTTAATGAAGTGGTCTGGGTGCCAGGTCCAGCTAGGCTTAACCCATTCTTTTATAAACATAGCAGTTTCAGAGAAACTGCTATGTTTATGAATGGGTTAAGCCTTCCCCCAATTCCTCTAGTGGCTGTCTCATTGACCACCGCTAGAGGCGCTTGCGTGCTTCTCACTGTGAAAATCACAGTGAGAGCACGCAAGCGTCCATAGGAAAGCATTGATTTTTTTACCCCTTTCCCCCTTCCAGAGCCGGGTGGGAGGGGGACCCTGAGGGTGGGGGCACCCTCAGGGCACTATAGTGCCAGGAAAACGAGTATGTTTTCCTGGCACTATAGTGGTCCTTTAAAGCTAATGCATATTCTAGAAAGGGATGAGCTTCATTGACCGATATAGCTTATTTAATACAAATATGTATGTAAAAAAATGTTGTATAGAAAGGAGAAAGTGTTGATTTTATTGCAAGACACAAAGGCTCATATTGCATATCCCTTTCTTTACTGTCCGCCAATATCAAAGAATACAAACAGAATAAAAAAATAATGCATACATAATAACATAGGCCATTCCCTGATCAAGTCCCAGTATAATAGTAGGCACTTCCCTAAAAACTTTTCTTTGCAGCTTAGATAAGTACCTATTTTCTCTGTGGGTTTTTGGATTTATTTGTAAGTTGATTGTTATTGTGCATTGGCCTTATTGCATGTATTACAGACTGTTGTACTCTATTGTTATTGCAAGGGCTCAGGGTCCCAGACCAGCTGAGGGGTCTCTCCTCTGTACTTTTCAGGTTGTTTGTTACACCCCCTGTCCTTTCCAATTTCTCTTTGCTCTACCCCTGCTGGAGTTTGCGGTTTTTCCCTTCAGCCTAGATTTTTTTTCTTTTACTTCTCCTTATTTTCTGTCTGTTTTACCTGGTTCTCTCCTACCTTTTTTGTGCTCTCCCAGGTCCCTAGCTGTATTTGGCGGGTTAGCGCGCCAACATTTGGCTGTTTGGGGCTTTTTTCATGTGAACGCCAATTGGCCAATGGTTCGTGGTCACGTTTGGTCCACTAACACTATTCCTAGTTTGCGAAATTGTACCTAAACGTTCGGCTGTTTTTGGCCCATTGTTTTGCCTTAATTGACGTACTCGGTGCGCAAACGCAATTCCGTATTTAAATCTGCGTTCGCAGGTTTTTAACCCGTGATTTTCGCAAGCTTTAAGGACTGTGCTTCCTTCTGGTTTTCTCCTCCCCCTCCTTTGTCTCTGCTTTTCTCCTGCCTCATGTATCTGCTACTCGTCTGGGCCCTGGTGAGATCTCTCCTATTTTACCTTTCCCTGGCTAGTCTAGTTTTGGTGATCTCTGTACCTAGATACATATGCCCCTTCCTTTCCTTTATTCATTTATTTTATTTTTATTTTATATATCCTGTGTACACTGTATATTTTCTTGTGTTTATATCTTGTCTGCTATGCTAAAGTGTAGTTTTGCTAGCCCTGTATCTAATTGTTTTATTCACCTATATGCATTCCTCTATTTCCCCTCTGATTTGTGACTGACCTCTGACCCCTCCCTTCTCTTATTGATATGTTTGTTTTTATTTGAATATCCATCTCTTCATCTCTGTACCTAGATACATATCCCCCTTCCTTAACTTTATTGCAAGCTCTCTGACCCTCACATCTCTTTATTTAACAGCCTGATTCCCCAACTTTGCAAGCCCATTACTTCAGTAAGCAAGCCTGATGCCCACCCCACACCATCCCATGCTCATTATTACATTTATAGATTGTCTGTCACACCCACATTTTAGTTAGGTTAAAAAAATAAATTAAAAAAACAAAAACAAAAAAAACTGCCCCTTATTAGTTCACTCCTGCACTTTCTTAACCCATAAAACATAATTATTTTTCCTACCTTCACCTGCTTTTTCCTCCTCTTTATTTCCTCAGCCTCCCTCAGTATAAAAATCTCTCCTTACACTTACTTCACTCATCCCCCATCCACATTTACATATTCCCCTCTCTGCTAACTTCCCCCTTCTCTCATCTCATACCTTACATTCATTTTTCTACTCTCTCACTCCGACCCACAATCGATCTCATCCTAGACCCCATGCATACAAAACCCATTCACACCTCCTGTCACTTTCCCTCCTCCTACATCTAGCAGCTGGTGAT